AAAAAGAGAAGATGCACCCCAAAAGTGAGTGACACCATTCCATGGACTGAGATCCCAGCTTGAATAAAAAGAAAACTAGGAAAGCACTGGTGTTTCTCTCTCTTTTCTTATTTAAAACATTATATCTCTCATACATGATTACTGGTTTTACATCATTTGTTTTCCTTCCCTTCCATCTCCTCCTATGTCACCTTCACACAATCTCTTTCAAATTCGTGACCTTTTCTGTAATTGTTTTACGCACGCATGTGCATGTGCCTGTCGTCTCTCCCTCACATTCTCATATGTACTTATGTTGTGTTTAGGGCCACCCACTAGGGATGGGATAACCTGTCAGTGAGCTTATTCGTGGAGAAAACTGATTCTCCCTCCGCCAGCAGCCATTGATTGCCTCTAGTTCTTAATTGGGGAGTTAGCAGGGCCATGTGAATTTTCTCTCATCCTCCTTGTTATGTCTTCTCATATAGTCATTATATAGGTTTTGTTTAGGCAACCATATTATTGAGACTTCATGGTTGCTGCTTCCTTGTCATTTCTCTTGGAGGGGGTTCCTGTAAGTGTTATACAGGGAAGCAAACAGCATGGAGAGGTGAAAATAAAAACCTGGTACAGATTGACATCCTCAACCTGGATCAGATCCATGGAGTTTAAAGCCAGATGGTTCATTGTCAGAATATTTAGAACACAGTACAATTTGTGTAAAGGTTTCACGGCAACAATCAGTCCAATTCCATGCATATATATAATAAAGCTTAATGTGTGACTACATAGAAAATCTTTTGCAAAGTACATGTGACCATGATGGTAGGTTCTATGGCTAAAGGACCTAGAATCTAGTGTGGTCTTTGCCTGATAGCATAGAGGTCAGCAGACCATAAAGTACACGTGACATCTCCACTAAGGATGGGGAATAGTGTAGGGAGAGAAGAGTTTGGGATAATCATTTTGGGGAATCAGGGTGAGGTCTGTCCCTACAGAGAGCAAAAAAGGTCATCAGGTCATTAACAACCTCCTCTTTCAGGTTTCTAGATGGAATGCAGGTGTTTGATTTTATTTCCTTCATTTAAAGAGCCACCTCAATATGATTAATATTCCTGGTTCTCTTAGTGGTTATCTATGAATACAACACCCTCATGCCCTCTATAGCCTAGAGCCAAAGGCTATCAAATTCAAGTGCCAGGAAAAGGAAACCCCTCTTCGAGTTATGGGACAGGGACATCTAAGAGACCCCTCAAATAGTATAGGCTATTGTCATTGCCCTTTTGTTGCCTCCTGAAACTTGAGAAACATGACTAATACAGATGTTATACAAAAAAATACTCATTTTCTTTTACTCAAGATACATTGGAAAGATCTTTTGTATAACAATATATCTTACTATAGCAACACTATAATATATACTTAAAAGTCTCTTTACACTCCTTTTGTCAAAGTTTCTTGGTACAGTAGAATTAAGCATACATAAGTAGGGTTGTAGAGATCACTCAGAGTTAAAGATTATTTAATGTTCTTCCAGAGGTCCTGAGTTCAATTCCCAGCAACTACATGGTGGCTCATAACTATTTGTAATGGGATTGGATGCCCTTTTCTGGTGTGTAGATGTATACATGTAGACAGAGCACTAATATTCATAAAATACGTAAGTAAATCTTTAAAAAATACATAAGTAGAAGAAAGAAAATAGGAGGGGCCAGAGAGATGACTCAGCAGTTAGGAACACTTTCTGCTTTTGTAGAAGATCTGTGTCCTCATACGGCTGTAACTCCAGTTCTAGTAGATTTAATGCCCTCCTCTGACTTCCGTGGGCAAAAGGTATGCATGTGCTGCAAAAATATATACAACAGACAAAGCACTTATATACATAAAATAAACAAATTTAAAAAATAAAATATGAGAAAGGAAGGAACTAGAAAAGATATACTGTGTACCCAATGAAATAAAAACAGTAGTTGTATTAATTACAGAAAATCCATGTCAGTAAAGTTATTAGGCATTATGTAATGGAGTCAATTACCCCTGAATATGTAATAATATAAAAATATGCAAAAATAATACAAAAACTTCAATATATGTAAAAACAAACACTGAGAAAGTACAGGGAAAAAGAAGTAAATGGATCTGTGATTCTCATTCTATATAGAAACTCTAACACCTGTGTATAAGAAATGAGTCATTTCAGGTTCCCCATCCTCAGCTGCCCAAGGAACTAACTGGGGACCTCGGCTTGGGTATCTGGGAGCCACTCTAGGTTCAAGTCTCTTGCCAACCCTAAGGTGGCTCCCTTAACTAAGAACCGTGCTTCCGTGCTCCCCCATCCAACCTTCCTTCATCCCAATCCTCCCCCTTCCCCAAGCTCCCCCCATTCTCTCCCTCTCCCCCCTCTCTCCCCATCTCCCCTTACCCCCATCCCACCCCACCCCCAAGATCGCCTGAAACTCACTATGAAGACCAGACTGGTCTCAGAGGTTGTCAGACAGAGAGGAGGGCCTAGAGAAGAGGAGGGGTGGGGAGAGAGGGAGGGAAGGAGGGAGGGAGAGGAAGAACCCTATGGTAGGTATTTTATTTTGAGATAGGATTTCATAAATAAGTCCGGGCTGGCCTTGAACTCAGCCATCACCCTGCCTCTGCCTTAAAGGTGTGCACCACCAGAACTAGTGCTATTCAATTTTGTTTTGTTGTGTTCTTTTAAGTAACAGATTAAAAACTAAGAATCACATCTTTTCAGTAATTTTTTTTTAATATAAGGGCAGATTAGGAGTACTGAACCATGAGTGTGAGACCTGTCAGTAGAGTAAACACTTTAACAATTATGGTCATAGATTGGTGTCTTGCACAATTGTCAACAGAGACGTGCCAACCAGTAACTAATGAAGGCAGAGACCCACAGCCAATCATTAGGTAGAGTTTGGTGAATCCTGCAGAAGAGAGGGAGAAATGATTGTAGAAACCAGAGGGGTCGAGGACACCACAAGAAGGCCCACAGAATCAACTAACCTAGACTCATGGGAACTCACAGAGAGTGGACCAACAACCAGGGAGCCTGCCTGAGACTGACCTAGGACCTAGATCTACGTATACGTTACCCTTCTGCAGTTTGGTCTTCTTGTGGGACTCCTAACAGTGGGAGCAGGGGCTGTCTCTGGCTCTATTGCCTGATTTTGGGACCATATTCCTCATATTGTATTGTTTTGTCCAGCCTTAATAATTGAGGAGGTGCTTAGTTTTACTGCAACTTGATATGTCATGTTTGGTTGAAATCCATGAGAGACCTACCCTTTTCTGAATGGAGACTGAAGAGGAGGGGATTAGGGGTGGGGTGGGAGTATAGGAGTGTGGGGGTGAAGGGGAGGGACTGGAGGGGAGTATGGGGAGGTAATATGCTGTTTCTGGGATATAAAATAAATAGATGAATAAAAAATGCTATGGTCTTAGAGGTAAAACTTTATATGTGCAGAATAAATTTCATTGTTTATATGAGGAAATAAATTTTATAAAATTAATTTTAGGCAGTTAAAACTGAAAATGGAAAAAATCTGTATTTTAATAGAAAAAATGATATCAGAAGTAAATGGAATATGTGTATTCTCTCTGGAAAATAACTTAATAAAGAAAAGTTAATCAATATTGTAATAATTAAATATTATAAAGCAAAAATAGCTGAAAAGGTGTGCTCTGGACCCAGCCTAGCTGGCTTTAAACCATAGCCCTACCATTTGTTTTATAATAATCTTCATCTTGTACCTCAAACTCTCCATATTTATAATAACCTTATCTATAAAATCGGCCTACAAATCCTATTATATTTCCATGAGAATTAAGTAAGCTAATATATTCAAGGCACTCCAAAGATTGCTTAGATGAGTATTGACTACGCTCAAATCTTTTCTTGCCCCATTGTTCGTTCATTATCTCATCACTTTCTCTTGTCAAATACCAACATACTACACTGACTTATTCTGATATGCTCTCCATTTAATGAACTGTTGTGTGTTATCCTTGGCTGAATGTCTGGTGTCTGATAAACAAGTTTCAGATTGCTTCACTGGCCAGAACAGGATTCTTTCACAAGGATCATAGGAAAGCACACTGGTAGTTTTTCAAGAGTTCTGACACAGTTATTCTAGGGATTTGTGTGTTTTGCTCAGCTTGAACTCTTTGTTCCTAGCTGGAAGTGGAAGTGTGATATCCACGTGGATGTACCTGGAGGACATTCTACTAAGTGTAATCAGCTAGGCACAGAAGAACAAGGACTTTATGAGTACACTCACATGTAGAATTATGAAAAAGTGAAACTTAAGAATCAGAGATTAGAATGACGGTTCCATGATACTGGAGGTAGTTGTGGGTACTGGGAACAACAACAAAAAGAAAAACAAAAAACCTCTTCACTCCTTCATCTTTCTTTCCTGCTTTTCCAAAAGTTCTTCAATTTTCCTGGTGACTGTGGAAGCCTTGGTGTGTCGCAGAGTATACCCTTTTATCCAAGTGTCTTTACTTGCAAATGTTCATTGCAATGAGGTCTGGTCCAAGGCCTCTGGTCTCTAGCACACCATCATCAATGGATCCTCATGGAAACTCCTCTTAGATATTTTGCTGCTGCTGGAGTTGTAAAGATCCTGTGGGTACCATTTCATAGTACCAGTTCCCTTCATGAGCTCCAATAGGTCCTAGATGGAGGAGATGTTAGGGTGAGCCAACTCCAGGCCCAGCTGTGGGCCTGGGTGGTAGGTGTGCTGGTTAGTCCAGGCTATTAGGTTCACCCTTCTCAGGTGAGTAGTGGAGCCATTACACTTAAAACCACGCCATTATGGTCATTTTGTCCTCAGTCATAGTGAAAGTTGGGGTCTTCTCTCCCAAGTACGGGATAAGGAGTCAGGGACCAGGTCCCTTGCTGTAGTGTCCAGCAAGAGAAAGGGACAGCTATCCCAGGGCCAGCAAAGATCAGGGCCAGCTCATCATGGCCCCATGGTTATCACACATTGCTCTTATTACTCCCTCAGGTGGTATGGGCCACAGATACCAACATAGACCTTAGCTTCAGCAGAACCAAGCACACAGACATGGCCCTCGGCTTCAGCCTTGACCTGGGCGACATCCTGGCTCCAGGTGGAAGCACAGGGCACTCAACTCAGGATGGATCTGGTAGCAGCATAGCCTCAGACACCAACAAGGCCATAGGTTGAATCCCTGTCTACAGGCTTCCATGTGACATTTGGTGGCAACACGAGCTGCCCAGTTTTCTAGGTCTACTTTTTTTTTTCATTTCCTCCCTCCTATACTATATCAAGCATTCTGTATGTGCATTTATCTTACATCCTTTACCATGGACCATGGAACTTTAGACTTCTTTATTCATCTTGTTCATGTGCCATGAGTTCACTGAGCCTAATGCTCAGTCATAGCTGCTCATTGAATTTACTGGGGGAAACTTCAAAATACAGATACAGGAGTTCTACCGTAGAAATTCTCAGGATCTCTCATGTCATCAGGACTCACATCAAATTTGCAATGTTATAACAGAAAATAAGAGAATGACATTGAACTTTGGGAACACTCGCTTCTAGGTTCTCAGGACTAGGATTACAGGCATGCGGTGCCATCCCTATATATGCAGTACTTGAGACCAAATACAGGGCCTCCTGCATGCCAGGACTCTACTATTGGGCAGCATCCACTCCCGAGAAATTCTTCAGTTGGTCTTGAATGAAGCCTAGAGTTTGGGATTTGTCAAAGTTCTTCAAGTAATCCGTGTTAATGTGGAATCAAGCTTGGGAACTTCCATTTTGGTCCATCATTAGCAAATCTTGGGCTAATTCAGATTCTGGCATATCTGGAAGATATGGTGTTCTTTAAAGAACACTATAAGATATTGATGAATGTGGCTGTTTCCTTTTAAAGAGAAAATAATGAAGACGCCATGTTGACTTGAGTACAAAATATAAAATTGCAACCCTGAGCACCAGCATCCTGGTAACAGTATGTGGCATAAACATCAACTATTTGGCTTCTCTTAAATGCTCTGTAAAATAATCTCATTCTATCCAAAGGAAGGTTCAATGTGGATAATTAAAAAAAAGGGGAGTTCATATGAAGAGCATAGAAATAAAACACGGTGTAATGAAACAGGTGTTCCCTTGGGATGAGTTTTGGGGGCTGGGCTGGGGAGTCAAGCTTTTTAAAAAGCTTGGGTAATCTGAAAATGCTGATTCATTAAGGCTCAGTTTAACAGCTACTGTAGTTGGTTAATAAAAATAAACAACTGCCCTGGAAGCACCAAATTGTATATTCTGTATCACTCTATGCTTTCAAAGCAAAAATAACATCCCAAAATTTTATTTGTAAAATTCTTTGACAAAATCCAACAATAACATTCACCCTTGAAACTAATTTTCTGTCTTGCATTTCTTAGTCACAAATTATCTCTAAACTTTGTCTTTCTGTTGCTATCAGTTTTGCAGAATTTCTGGTGTTTTTTTAGCTATGAGCCCAAATACTAGAGTCAAATGTGTAACTATTGGAGAAGCAGTAAGAATTTCAAGTCATTTCTCACATATGCAGCCAACGTTTGAGTCACTTCATGCCATTAAAGCTTATAAAAGCAAATTATATGCCCTCTCTGGGTCTACTAAAATTGACTTTCACCAGAGTGGTTTTAGAAGAGCATAGTTACCAAATTAGATACTGCTGAACTGGTAAGTTTATACTCCCCCAAAGAGCATTTATTAAGTCAGCATATCTATAATTTCTAAATTACTGCTCTTATAAACAAAGACAGCAGTAACTGGAGACTACAGAGCTAGTAGCTCTTTAGACAGTTATCTGTTCCAGTTCATCACTGGATGATACCTTTATGGGAATTTCTTATATCATGTTACTCAATACAGTCATAAAAAAGATGACAGTATCAGAAGTTGGTAGCAAGGTCTCTGGTTGTGCAGCTGAAAACCTGGATCCTATCCCTTGAGTGGGAGTCCTGAACCACACACTATCCTCAATATATATATATATATATATATATATATATATATATATATATATATTTCAGTATGGACCATTCGAAGTACTACTCAAGATGATGACCTTTGATAATAGTAGGCTGCTATGACAAAGAGATTAAGAATCTTGAAAAACTGGTACAACATAGATTCCCATCTTATGGAGCAAGAAGAGTCGTTCAGTGAATGAGCAGGACGTTAATACTATGTGGAAAGTACCTGCTGGTGGATGAGTCAATAGAATAACCACACACTTGAAAAATCCTGTTTCTAGCACACTTCCTGGCCATCCTACAGGGGCTATACTGCCTAAACCGCCTCTCTCTTCCTATCCCATTCAGCTTACATCCCACACCCACTGTCTCCCTCCCTCCCTCCCTCCTTTGGGGCATAGCACCTCCCTGCCCAGCCTGCTAGGGTGCTGGGACCGAATCCGAACCGGGAGGACAAAGGGGTGGCCGGTAGCTCCTTTGTTCCCATAGCCTGCCCGCAGCGAGCGGGGTGGGCCCATTGTTCGCGAGCTAACCAAGCAGCGCGGAGTTTCGATCTGGGCACCGAGTGAAACATCATTGTGGTGAGTGAGTGCTGCAGCAGCTGGGAACATACCTCAGCCTGCCCACACTTCCTGGCCATCCTACAGGGGCTATACTGCCCAAACCGCCTCTCTCTTCCTATCCCATTCAGCCTACATCCAGATCCCCACACACCCTGTCTCCCTCCCTCCCTCCCTCCTTTGGGGCATAGCGCCTCCTTGCCCAGCCTACTAGGGCGCTGGGACCGAATCCGAACCGGGAGGACAAAGGGGTGGCCGGTAGCTCCTTTGTTCCCATAGCCTGCCCGCAGCGAGCGGGGTGGGCCGATTGTTTGCGAGCTAACCAAGCAGCGCAGAGTTTCGATCTGGGCACCGAGTGAAACATCATTGTGGAGAAATATCTCTGGGGAGTGACATCACTGGGAAGGTACATCAGAGGGCAAGAAGACCTGATCCTGTAAAAGAAGATCCAAAGGGGAGTATTGGGAGGAAGAGATGGGCAGACGCCAATGCAGGAATTCTCCCAACAATCTGAAAAATAACACGAAACCACCAGAAGCCAGTGACCCCACAACAGGAGGACATGAAAACCTTAATCAAGAAGAAGTAGAAAAAACTGACTTCATGAAAGTGATTGACACCCTTAAACAGCATATAAAAAATGCCCTTATAGAAATGGATGAGAAGTATAAGAGAAAGTTCGAGGAATTGAGTAAATCAGTGAATGATACCCTAGGAAACCAAGGAAAAACAATCAAGCAGATAAAGGAAACAGTTCATGACTTGAAAACTGAAATGGAGGCAAAGAAGAAAACATAAACAGAGGGCTGGCTGGACATGGAAAATCTAGGTAAACGAATAGAGACTACAGAATCAAGTATAACCAGCAGAATACAAGAGACAGAAGAAAGAATCTCAGATTCTGAGGATAACATAGAGAAAAGAAACACTCTGATCAAAGAAAACAGCAAGTCCAACAAACTCTCATCACAAAACATTCAGGAAATATGGGACACAATAAAAAGACCAAACCTAAGAATAATTGGAGTAGAAGAAGGAGAAGAAGTGCAGCTCAACGGTACAGAAAATATATTTAATAAAATTATAGAAGAAAACTTTCCCAACCTGAAGACAGATGTACCTATGAAGGTTCAAGAAGCATACAGAACACCAAATAGGCTGGATCAAAAGAAAACATCCCCTCGCGATATAATAATCAAAACACAAAATATACAGAATAAAGAAAGAATATTAAGAGCCGCAAAGGAAAAAGGCCAAGTTACTTATAAAGGTAAACCTATCAGACTTACACCTGACTTCTCTATGGAAACCATGAAAGCCAGAAGGTCCTGGATAGATGTTCTCCAAAAACTAAGAGACCATGGATGCAAGCCCAGACTACTATATCCAGCCAAACTTTCATTCACTATAAATGTAGAAAACAAAATTTTCCAGGATAAAAACAAATTTAAACAATACGTAGCCACAAATCTAGCCTTACAGAAAATAATAGAAGGAAAATCACTAACCAAGGAGTCCAACAATGACCACAATAATTCAGACATCTAGAGACTCTTCACCAGCACAAATCAAAGAAGGGAAACACACAAACTACTACTAAAAATGTGACCGGAGTTAACAACCACTGGTCATTAATATCACTTACTATCAATGGGCTCAACTCACCTATAAAAAGGCACAGGCTAAGAGATTGGATAAGAAAACAGGATCCAACATTCTGCTGTCTACAAGAAACACACCTCAACCACAAAGACAGGCACCTACTCAGAGTAAAGGGCTGGGAAAAGGTTTATCAAGCAAATGGACCTAAGAAACAAGCAGGTGTGGCCATACTAATTTCTAACAAAGTTGACTTCAAACTTAAATCAATCAAAGAGATGGAGAGGGACATTTTATACTCATAACAGGCACAATTCATCAGGAAGAAGTCTCAATCCTGAATATCTATGCCCCTAATATAAAAGCACCCACGTACGTAAAAGAAACATTACTAAAACTCAAGGCAGACATCAAACCGCACACACTAATAGTAGGAGACTTCAACACTCCTCTCTCACCAATGGACAGGTCAATCAGACAGAAACCTAACAGAGAAATTAGAGAATTAATGGAGGTAATGAAACAAATGGACTTAACAGACATCTATAGATTATTCCAACCAAAGAGGAAAGAATATACCTTCTTCTCTGCACCTCATGGAACCTTCTCGAAAATTGACCACATACTTGGTAACAAAGCTAACTTACACAGTTACAAAAAAATATTAGTAAGCACCTGTGTCTTATCAGATCACCATGGATTAAAGTAAGAATTCAACAACAATGCTACCCCCAGAAAGCCGACAAACTCATGGAAACTGAACAGTCAACTACTGAACCATACCTATATTAAGGAAGAAATAAAGAAAGAAATTAAAGTCTTCCTTGAATTCAATGAAAATAAAGAAACAACATACTCGAACTTATGGGACACTATGAAAGCAGTCCTGAGAGGAAAGTTCATAGCACTAAGTGCCCACCTAAAGAAAACAGAGAAAGCACATATTGGAGACTTAACAGCCCACTTGAAAGCTCTAGAAAAAAAAGAAGCAGACTCACCTAGGAGGAGTAGAAGACTGGAAATAATCAAATTGAGG